CCAAAGGATTCGTGTGCTTTTCTCATTAGCGCTAGTCCCTTCTTGTACACTTTATAACGTTTTCCAAGGGCACTCTCGAGCCAAGTTCTAATGGCCTCAGCAATCCTTCTCCAGACTTCAAAATGCCAAGCATTTTGAGCTTCTGACCTTGTGCAATTCCAATCACACCTTATCTATACAGCCTAACAACAAACGACAACACAAATTGATTGCTTTCACTAAAAGTTGACCCTTAAATTCATTCCTGGCACCACAAATGGAGACATTTATTTTGCAACTAGGCAGTCAGCCACGTCACATTGACACACGCAAAAGTAAATTTCATTTAAATTCCTCTCCTGACTTCTTTATTTAGACCGAAATGATTCTAGTGCTGAAACTGCCAGTAGTATCGGTGCTACCACTCCACCAACGTGTGTGCCAACCCAATCCAATTGTGGCCTCACGTCTCCAATTTCCGTTGCTTTTACCGCGACACAAATATTGCAATGTCTTTGAATTTCAGGTGGTGCCGCCTGTGTGCTCCACTTTGTCTCCCAAGCCAAACGCATTGACATTTGAATGTGAAGACTGCTGACGCGAGCACTTCAGACGCGTGGCTCGGTTCAGCCAATCAACAGGCGTGTTGTCTGGCACCAACGCCTACCTTTCATCAGCCCTTGGGTGGCTCTACTCCATTTGGGTGTGGTGGTGGCGCCCTTGAAAACAATGTGCACCAATTGTGTCGCGGGAGTTCATTCTATCACCGCGAGCCTACAAGTCTCGTTGACTTGGCTGCCATCGCCTGTTTGACTATGGCGCCTGTTCTTGTGCTTTCAGCTCTGCCAATCACATAAGGCGTGGTGACAGGTAGTGGAAGTGAATGACGAGCAATGCAGCCTGCACATAGAAATAATAGCGTCACCAGTTGTTGAGGCTGCACTTCAATGACAACCCCCATCTCCTAATTAGTGACTACTTTTTAGTACGAGCAACCTTCAAATACAATTTTTCCCATTTTTCTGTCGCTTTTCACTTACTTAATATGGTGGACAACTATTCGAGCTAAATTTTGGTGTGTGTCATTGTGTGTGCATTTATTGAATATCGCCTTAAGGGATAGAAGGTGCAAGGGAGTGGAAGTTGTAGGAGAAGGTGGAGAGGAAAGGAAATATAAACAGAGCAAGAAGGAAAAGGGGGTTCCAAGTGCTGTGCCACTAGTTGATTTCGCCTCCACAAATGTTTACCTTGCATATTGTTCTCAGTTGCAGAAACAAAGATGCGGCTTGTAAAATGTCTATTGCGACGGTGCAGTTGGTCCCTTTCCCCGTCAAAAGTAATGCTTTACGCACAAACAGCGGCGCATTTACGCTCTTAGCTCTAAGTTGTATGCAGTGCGTGGGCAGTCGGGCAATACACCGTGGACATATGGAATTAAGCATTGAGCATTTTCTGGAATGGGCAACTGTGTCCACCTACTTTGCATTACAAATTTGATTGCGATACATTTACTTTCACTCGTCTATTTAAACCCATTATCCTGCCTTTTGCGGCAAGCAAATGATTGGAAATAGTTGCTGTGACATAGTTGAGCAAATTCTTATTAATATCAACTTTTCCCAAGCAATGGGCACCGTTCTAACCTATTATCCAAACTAGTTGAATGTTGTCTCGCTAAAAGGTGTGTCGAGGGCGACGCTCAAAATGGAGAGCTATGCAAGGGTAGGGTATTCAATTGCCTCCACCACTGACAGAACAAGCTCCTTAGTCTCCGCTTTTGTTCTCAATTTTAGTAGCGCTCATTCATATTGCCAATATCCGGTCGCCCTTTTTACGAATTTTGGTAATCTCATGCTAAAAGTTATATGATCTATGATTTCTAGGTTCGCTGCAAATCATGCCTCCATGACATGGAGTTGAGTCAAAAGGCGTGATTGTGATGCCATCTGATTTAGCCTCCAAGTCTCCTGCCTTTCTCTTCCGACACAACCGCGTTTCACCACTTACCGTCATCTCGCATGGCAAAACTGTATCAATCAAATCAGCAAACGCATTAACGGATTCAACAAAATAGGTTTTATGAAATGGGTCTCGAAATTTACAGGTGTCTGAAGATTGCTTGCCTCAAAGTTGGTAGGTCAGGATGAAATGCAGGCCCAAGCCATTGTATCTTCTCGAAAGTCATCGGCAGCAATGATGTTTCAGCAATTACTTCCAGTGTTAATGGTGGCGCCGAATAGACCTGAACGCCTTAGGTGCCGTCTGCGCACTTGCAACTTACCTGCCACTTTCTCCAACCATGGTGCTTCCTATAATTTCCAGATACCACAAATTTTGTCTTTATGCAGCCCAAGCCAAGTTCACATTTTGTTAAACTCCTTTCCTTAAATAATGAGAGATTTTATGCACTGGCGAAAGGAACTTTGCTTTCTCCACCGCAATGTGCAACTTTCACTCCGGTGTGTACCGGAAAATAGTTAAATGGCGTATAGATTTGCGTTTTAGAGAAAAACTTAGGTGCTATGAACAGACAAAAGGGAGGAATGTTGCCCAATACTTTGGCCAACACTGACTCAGTTGTGTGTGTCCTATCTGTGATAAAAAGGGATAGTGGGTCTCTGCAGAATTGTCTGCTTTATCGAAACTTATTGGCTCCTTCTCGGAGACGCATTTAAAAATTCTGGAAGCTCCTTTTTTAGACAAAATCCTTTTCTTGAAGAAGAAGAAGAAGCTTTTGATTGCTCTAAGGATAAGAAGGTGGAGACAATTTAACCGATATGTGGATATAGTTGTGTAAGTCCCTCCACCTCAGCCAACGCAAGGAGAAAGGGGGATTTGCGTCTCCCAGAGATCGCATAATTCACTCGAGTCTGCTCAGTTTGGCGCAATTCTCCTAGTGGGAAGAAAAGAAAAAAGAAGGGGGAAAGGCTAGGCATAAATTGGCTTTGTTCAGAAAAATCCCCCATAATTATTTTCTTTTGTGATCCCCATACTTTATTTACATGGCGACTGAAGGGGGTGACATTTTAAGCATCTAGGACGAAATGTCAATCCAAGGAAGCATTGTGTATGCCTTTTCGCCACAAGCAGTCTTCCTTTAAAAGGCACTTTGCTTAACTTTTGAGATTTTTCCGTAGTGTCTGGTGTCTCAGGCATCTTTTCCAGGGATCACGACTTCATGGTTTTTAGCTCAATGGGAACGTCTTTGTGAGCTTTTTCAATTACGCGTTTTCCAAATTCATCTTAAAAAACCAGTTTTAAGCAAGTAGTACTGTACACATGGTAGTAGTATAACAATAGCTGGAAAATAAATAAACAAATTCATAGTGCTCATAGGCCATGAAAACTTTACCCTTTTCAAATTAAGACTTGGTTTCAATTCCTAAGCATCGAATCAAGGCGATTGCTTACAAGTCTGCCCAAGGTCTCCTGACCCCTCCCACAGAGCTGCGAGATTTCGTTGTTCAGGTTGCATCCCCTTCGCCTCCAGGTCTTATGGTCTATAAACCTTTGTAATGGCACCCCTGGAGCCCCGTTGGGAAGGCTGTCCACAACACTAAGCAGTCATTAATGTCTATGTCTAGTTACACGTCAGCTAGCAAAACCTTAGAGGCAATTCAACAACCTCACCATTCTCATGCAACCAACTCAGGTTGGCTATCTGAAAGCGCAAAAACGAAATTTTTTAGGAAGACTAATGCACCATATTAGAGGTTGTTGTACCATCCACCATAAGATAGACAAAAGCTCACGACACGCATTTGTGACGCTGGCCCTAGGCAAATGATAGAAGATACCACACACACATTCAACCTTGGTAGCTACCAACAAAGTCCACAAAACACGTGTGACATGGACACTTTGAATGTGGCAGCGGAGTTTATGCATACAATATAAAATACCCGATTTGACTATTTTTGTGCACACCTACAAGACAATGATGATGCGAGGAAGCAAACACACTCACCCTGTTTCTCGTTGCACACTTGGAATACTCCCCCCGGCACATTCAACACTTCAATTACCGTGGCGTTCTGTGCACTGCCATTGTAGATGCTCACTGACATGATGGTTGGTGGCGCCTCCTTCAACGGATGACATCTCCCACCTCGTCTTGTTGTCAAATCTTGTCACCCCAAAACCACCCCCCTCCACTGCCACTTGCGCCAGTCGTCATGTCTTCTGCCGCGAACAGGCTTGTTGGATGAGGCGGTGGAACAGGAAGTGCACACGCTCCCAATGTGGTGAGAGGGTGGTGCGGATGACGAGAATGAGAGCAAGCAATGGCAGTGCAGTGGCTGTGGCCAGCAGACGTTTGAATCGAGGGGATAGATTGACACGCTTATGCGGTGTCACCACGGGTGTGGAGGGTGGGTTGGTAAGAGGCGATGGATAGACGAGTAGTTGTGCTGCTCTGGAGGGGACATTGTCGGAGACTTGAGAATCGTGGCGTGGGTAGGTGTACGGCAATGGATCCATGTGGAGTGACGACCAAGTGGCGAAAAACGCAGCGACACGAAAGCGTGCGTGCGTGAGTGCGTGCATGTGGGTGTGGGTTCGTATGTGCGCTGTGATTGGACGAAGTCATTTCTTGTCAGTGGAGTAGCAGAGATCCTCCTAAATTATTCTATTTGCTGGATTACTTCCAATCAAAATGAGGCATTTCTTTTTAATGCAGACGGCATTTGGCTGGGAGCATTTTATCTTCAAAGAAAAATGGAAAAGTAGAAACTCGTCATTAGCCACGCACACCGTTTCAACTAAGTCCCTGTATTTTGCGGGAACAGCCAGTCCGATTTGGAAGAAGTAGTGTAGTTGGTAAACGATATTTCACCCCTCCACTCGTCAAATAAGAGAAAATATCTTACCGTGATACTAGTTTAGAGATTGTGAGGGGAGAAAAAGGGTAGAACATGCTTCTGACCAGCTGACAAATCCTAACACATCTGACTGCTTCTACGGTCTTTCCCTTCAGGCGTAAATATGGAGACAGGTTTACTTGGAACAGGTTAGCCACCATTTACTCCAGTCAGTTGAGTACAGTAAATGGAGGATCGACCCGCCCACCGTTGCATGCATGTGACGTGTGTCACGTAACCACTTCTAGGCTTGAAGCTGCGTGACAGGATATGATGTGAAGTTCTACAGCCATCAAGCCGACTCCGACTGCTACAGAACTTTGATGACGTGTCCGTGGAAGTCCGGGAGCACCGAAGTCAATGCCACTCGTAAAGCAGACAGGCTTCAATGACGTCGCCACATCGCGCAGTCTGCTTCAACCGACATCACTGCGTGGACGAGGCTACATTGTTGTAAAAATCTTCGATCAAATGACTTCCAGCACTACTTTGTGGGGCACCTAACAAGGATGGCATTTATCTGGTCCTTGCAGATCGCTGAAGGTGATTGCAACGAGCTTTGCATACCATCGCTGTCCAATTTAGTTCAGTCCAGTGCACATGGACAGGCTTTTAATGTCTGACACAGGAAAGTGACCAAGTGGAAATTGCTCCACTTTTACCTGGCTTTCAATGGAAAGAAGTTGGCAGCAGCATTCATTTAAAAATTGCAAAACAGCAGCGGTTGCTGTGTTTTCAAAAAAAAGGTGATTTACATCATTGCCTCGGCCTTTTTTGCCAAAAGTCTACCGTTTAAAATCGTAAAGTGAGGTTGGGTGGCACATGTCACCTCATCTACTCCACTCCACTGCCTTCTGCTCCCCTGGCCCTCCCAACTCTGCTTTACCCTGTGCTCGCCCCTCAGCTGTCCTCCCGCCATCTGCCCTACACAAGTGCGAGGTGAAGCGGAACAACAAGTGAAACAAAACCAAACAACACGAATCGAATTGAATTTGATCAAAACGAGTGGATACAAAGGACAAGGAGAACAAAACATCATTAGGTTGAGGTGAACAAAACACGATGGGTGGAACTAGGCGCGGTGAGTAGACCTGCTATCCAGAGTAGCACAAAGAATGCACACTTGCATTCTCGCATTCTTGGGTGTTTTGGGGTCAAATTACCCGGGTCAGGTGCAATTCAAACCGACACAGAGCATCCGATTAACTAGATACGCCTTGTTTACTTTGACGCCATCAAGGCAGTCAACATTTTCTTCCTGTCGGTGGCTAGGAGTTAAGAGATCTTATACGCAACGCTTTCCTTCATCACCACTAATTGTTTATCAGGAGTGAGTGGCACCTTACTTGTAGGACTGCCAGGGGTTGGGACAAGGGCATATTCAGCTCTCACACTTATCTTTCTGGTCACCTATCAAGCCGTTAGTTTTTTGTCATTGTGGAGGAGGCTTCAAAGTCCCTCCTCAGTCGCTTCATGTGCTGATAGCTGGATGTCTGCAAGAGGGTGCACCTCCTAGTCTACGTTTTAGAGGACTTCATGCAAGGTGGAACGCCATCAGTCATTTCTGGTGGAAGGTGATTTTTTTACTTCCAGCTTAACAAAAAGGGAAAAAGCAAAACTAGAAGGAATTCTTCTCACTTAAGTTGAGGACTCTTTCTATCCAGACGTTGCGGTCCTTTTTCCATCTCTGGGATAGTGAAGCGACTAAATTATGGAAGCAGTCAGTCTACGAGACGCATTCTCCCAACAGGGCATCAGTGGGCATGACAAACTGTCATTTTCCCTGTCTCGCTTCTGTATGAACAACCCTCTTCCCAATTTCACATTGGCCACCCATCTTGTCAAATGAAAGAGATGTGTCGCTTCAATGCAGTCTTGGATGTGAGCTACTTCCCGCAATTGTCGTGGCCTATTTTTCCACTGGTTACGGTATTTCCCTTCCTCTTCCTCCTCTGCCTCTAATGGCCTCGCAAATACGCAAATAAGGCGACACAAACTCCAACTCAGGTGTTCTACAGTACCTCACTTCATTTGTCGCAAGCCTTTCTTTCATACTAGGCACAAGACGGAGAGGATAATTGTGGATTTCTACATTGAGGTGTCGCAGTTTTGTCAAATTTCACATCTTCCGTGGACCGTGCGTGAAGGACGCCTTGGCCTTGAGGTGGCGCTGTAGAAGACTTTGCTTTCTTCCCGATCCTCTGGCTGCAAGAGCTTGGATACTTGCTTGCCATCCACAACTGAATCTACCATAAACCGCCGGCCAACCAATTCAACACTTCCATTTTGCTTTTCTGTGGATCATCATCATCACCTTTCTCTCCTCATTCTTCATGGTCTTGAATGCAACCGACTGGAGGGCAGCAGCCCTCTGCATCCATCGCATCAGTTCGGACGATTTCTCCCTTTCCAATCAACACATAGACGATACTGCAGGGGGAAGGGGGACTTTACCTTCATGAGTATGGGCTTTGGATACGCACCGCTCTTCGGTGTAATTTGCGCAGAATCTTCTCAGGAGGAATATCCTTTGGATAAAAAGCCTCGAATTGGTGGTTGGTTACTTGCAATTACAACTTCTTATTCATCTTTGATCTTCACTGCTGTCATGGCAACTACAGGTAAGCATATAAAAAGACTTGGGAATGCTAAAAGTCAATCCTTAGTTGTTTTTTAGTGAAGTCAATTAGACCTTGTTTTCAAAGAGGGAAAAATAGAAAGAGGACGGGTTTGTGAGAAGTGAGACTACTTGAATGCGTCTCAAGCAAAGCTGGCATTTTATTTACAAAAACAAGTTTTTCATTTGTAGAAAAATGAAATTCCGGCAAATTTCTGAGAAAACACTCTTTTGGTTGCACAAATGAATGCTTGGGGTAAACTCACTGGGCCGCCATGTGGGATTCCCCTCGACACTCATCCCCGAGACTTTCACCGGCAAATGCACAGAGGCCTCAAGTTCAAACAATGGTGAAAGTGAGATCTCGGCTATGAACGGCCGAATTTGTGGAAAGGAGTAGGGAAGGTGGGACGGTAAAATGGCTGACCCTTAAATCGGCACTCCAGTCCATTCATTGTGGGTGAGCGAGGCGTAGCTTGGGTTAACATCGCTTCTACAGACGTGTAGGATTGAAGAAGGCATGGTGCTTCGTTAAATGGAGCGAATCGGAAGAGAGAAGCCAAACCGCTAGGAAGACGGCCTTCAGGCATGACAAACTGACCCTAACTATACGTTTCACATAGAAAGTAGCACCTCAAAACGGCCTTTTAGTGACTAACTGCAGCAACTCCATAATCTGTAGTCTATAATCTGAATAATCATAGCTGCCTCTGCTACAATCACTCCGACGCCATGTGGATTGAACGCCTTCCCACTTCCATTTTACTTTATTCACGAATCAATCCTGTTTCCTAGCTACGATATCATCATGCACGTTGTAGTTTTTCTCTATTCCGAATTAGAACTACTGATTAATTGGGGTGTTGCTTTTTGCAAAATATTTTGCTCCGTGCCAGGGTAGGCTAGCTTCGTTCGCTTCAAAAGCAACGTCCAGCAACAGCGCCACTTTGCCGCTTAAATTGTGAAGGCACACATCAATCGTGCAAGCATCACACGGACTGCATCTGCAGTAATGCCAACCCCATTTGGCGTTTGATGATTAGATGCAGTCACTCCCGCCTCATGTAAGCTGGTGATGCGATGATTTTTGACCACATACACCACCTTCTTTGTCTATCTTAATATGCCCATTCAGCCGATGTCTTTGTACATTTCAAACTCTCAGGACCGGAGTCGACGCTGTTTACCCACCTCGCACTTAACAAATGGCTGGTTGGTGGCAAGTGTTTCTACATCACAAAAAGCGAAGAAGTCGGCAGCTTAAGACAAAGTGCCGCCCAAACCACTACGACTACTTAAAAACCATCGGCAGTTTTGACAATTCAACAATTTTCTGTCAACGTTAGTAGTAGTGGCGAAATGACCGGTGTGACTTTGTTGTGATGTACACACTTGCAATTTACCTTCTACTTTCTGCTAACATGGCGAAGAATAGTGCGGATTGCCCACGAATTCGCAACATTTCGTGCGCCTGTCACAGCTGAATCTTCAGCCAGGTAGGCTATGCTAAGTAAGGTGAAAGGATGGAATGATTCCTACCTGCAAACTGACATCGCGTGAGGAATTTAAAACTTCCAATTTCAAATTCATGTAGAGCCACGACATTTGTAGATTTGATTTGTTTTTCCCTAACAATAACCCTGTATTACAGGTGGATCTCAGACACATGATTTTGTTCCTTTTCTAAGTGAGAATCCGGTTGTCTTGCGGCAAGGTGCCAGTTACTACAGACGGATATGTCAAAAAGACCAGGAGCAAGTCAACCCTCCAAACACGGAAACCCACACGCACTTGAAATTTACATGCCATCGGACTGTCTGGATGTCTGGTGCCACTTGATGTGTGGGTTGCAGTGACAAAATTTTGACCATAAAACTACGCCGGAACATATACTGGATCCCAAAAAAATAAAAAGAAGGCCTCCAAAAGTTGGCACTACTACCAAAATGATGGAGGCAGCATGCAAACAAAAACTGCAAAATATTCATGACGAAGAAGACGTAGCACAGTGTTACCAAGCAAGCAAATTTGCTGCCTCTACGCTACAACAAAATCATTGCGGTTCCATTTCACCCCAAAGTAGATTCACTGTGCCGTAAAACACTGCCAACTTGAAAATGACGTTTTGCAATTCTCGCTCCGATCACTCGATCATGGAATACGTTGAACGTGAAGGTATAAATCGCGGATAACTTTTGGATTTGCTCTCATTGCTAACACAGATAACACACGGTTTGCGACAACAGAGTTTTGTAAAAGATTTGCCCGTAGCTGTAAGTAAAATGTCATCGCATTTGATACCAAGCAATAAAAAGTCAAGAGTAGACGAAGCCGCTTATGCACAATAGGATATACTGTAGTGCTGGCATTCAAGAGGTTTCTTTCCTAATAAAATTAGGAAAAGCTTTGGGAAAATAATTTAATCCTGTCATTATGCCATGCTTACATATTCCAGAGGTATCTTTACTTCATGATGCAACAGAGATCCACCTTGCAGCCACAATGGTATGAAGGGTACGAAGGCATGTGAGATTTGGCTGGCTCCACCACAAGGAGGTGGCGAGGGCACTTGCGCCGATGACGAAGCTCCGTATGCCGCAGTTGAAACGCAGATTGGGAAGAATTTTTTCTATCCATGCCACATTCGAATGGGTATTTATCCAGCAGATTGCAAAAGCATCGATTAAGTGAAAGAACAATCGTCTTTGGCACGAATTATAAAGCGAATGACTGTATTTGACTGGTTTAAATGCAACAAAAACTTTGCTCAGAGAGCGTTTTATGCATTCCCAAGGATATAAAGGCATACAAAGATGGAATGCAAGAAACTAACGGCCGACAGAATCGCCAAGAGGCGTAAAAAATGTGTAAGTAGTAGTGGGAACAGACATGTTGACATTCCGCTGAGATCTCACTAAAAGTGTAGCAGAAGTAACGGATCGCCCGAAAGCAGCTGCTCGGCGAGCATTCGAAATCCCATTCCACCGACAACACATCGCTCTGAAAACGGAGCCCACCACGACAAACTGAAAAACCGTAGGCTCTTATCAATCTGTAACATTTTTTCTAGACTTCCATTCTTACTTTCACTTTATACTGTTATTTTACGAAACTAGAATAACAAATTCTCCGTAGTAGCAACTGACGGATTTATCCGCCGCTGATTGCCCCATGGAAATAGCACTTTACAACATATAACACACGAATTGCTTATCGTCCAAGGGCATTTTACAGGAATGCTTACCATATTTCGTTAAAAACATCAGATTAGTTTATTTTTGGAATTGTAGCATTGGTGCCACTTTAAGTAGCTCTCTGAAGGGCACATCAGTGCAGCAGCCACCAGGATTGCGACCATGTGAACCACATGAACGCGTCAGTCAGGGTAACCGTAAACGCTGATTATACCTCTAATTCCACAAAAAAACGCAGAAGCTCTTCGGCAACAGGGCTTACTATAAAGAGAACGGGGATCTGGTGCCAACGCAAGCACACAACCAGCAGTCATGAGCAGTTCAACCGCACTTCACCACAAGTCAAGCCGTAAGCCTAACCATAAACCGTTTGCTTATTCATACGACTAATTTTCTTCCGCCTTTTGCACGCATTCAGGGCTGTGGTCATTTGAAGAGTTACTTGCACTGCTAATCTCGCCTTCGCATACACTGCGCCTGATTTGTTAGAGGGCCGAGGCAAGAAGCTTGATTTTGGCAACATCTGATGTGACCTCTAGGTCTCCCATGGTGAGCTTTCAATGTAACCGCCTCTCACCAATTAGCCTCAGCCTCATGCCAGAAAGGATATAAAAGGTAAGACTTCTGCAGCAAAGCAGTACCCCGCCTCTTAGACATGAAGTTCTTTTCATTCATTGGCACACTGCTTCCGGTGACGCTTCTGCCGGTCGCCATTCCAGCTTAGGATGTCAGACATCTCCTTTTGTTGACACAACACGCATAAGCTTCACCACCAAGTCCATCACTGATAGCGCCCAGAATGCTTAACCACAAATGGCAAAAAGCCCCAAGTGAAATTCATTGAAAGCCTTGTCCGCTCCTGCCCCTTTTCATTTTACGAGACTTGGCTCAATGGCGAGGTAACTTGTACCCTCGGCATTTGCATCAACGCAACCAAGTTGATAATATCCGCCCCCCCCCCCCCCCCCCCCCCAACTAATGTAAATTTTTCACACTATACTTTGCGACAGTAATCCCATTCCTCTCGCCATTCCCTCCCCAAACTCTAATCGCATTTTACGGTAATGCACCACAATTCCGCTAGTCGGGCATTCAAATATGCAATTCGCAAAAGACTTTCCGCAAAAAAATACTTCAAACATTCGTTTGGATAAAAACTTGCAAACATGTTTCTACGCTTCTCCTACATTGAGCTCCGTTTGCTGAGGGCAATGAACTCTTGCAATTAGAATAAGCCTTTTTTTCTATTTCACGCAATTTATTTCGTTAACTAGTTATTCCCATACTTTAGTTCGCGAAGTGAAAGTCAGGAAAACAAAGTTGGATGTTTCTGTGCAAGTGAAAAAGGGCCTGCGTCCTGAACCAAAGCTGGAATCGTCGGCATCGGTTTTCGATTACACATGTCTACATATTCGAGTTGATTCCCGTTTCAGCTAGATTATTTGAAGATAGCATAGTTGGTGAAGCCAAGAAAGGGCTCGAAAGTGAAACTCAGGCCTTCCAAACTGCCCTCGGATGGAATACCCCATGCGCATTCTACCATTCAATCCCAGCGTGACTTACGTGTATTCCATCTTATACTTCCCCCATCTTTAGCGCAATCGCTGTCTATCGATGAATGGGAAGCAATATACCACACACCAATGATACCTCCAACTCAAACGGCTTCCACCTACGGCTTCGGCGCATCACGTCTTGCTAAAAGTGATGCAACTTCAAGGAGTGAAGTCCCTTTTCCAATGAGATGGATTTCTGAGACTTTTATGGATAGGGTGGTGCAAGCAGGAGCTGAGGCACAGCCTCCCTTCAGGTGGTCTGAGTCCAGTAAAAATATCTGCTGATGCTTTCGTGTCACAGCGCACATTGGTTCTACTGGAGCTTCAACTGGGAAGGCTTTGAGTCAAGGCAACAAACTTGGCACTCTGAAATAAGCATACGGAAGGGGAAGTGAATACCTATTTATGCTTGATAAATTTACCTCAGTAGAGAAACGGTTGGCTGCGAAACCAGTAGTTCTGAAACCACCATATGGAGAAAAATCGGTACTTAACCCCATGCATTCGACCTGCTTTGTGAACTCATTGCAGATACCAGAGCAGCAACCGTTTTAAAGTGTTTGTGCATAAAACCATCCACGGTTAACACTGTCCACCGTTCATAATTAAAAGTCAGGACTAGAAACCAGTGGGACTAGGCCTCTGAGTCACAGAACTTAGTGAAGTAAGGATCAGGTTGACTCGACCTGTGTACTAACACGGTAACAGGGAGTGGAACGATCGGTAGCCAAACCGGGAAAAGCCATTCCACGCCTCAAAGGGGTAATGGGAAACCGGTAGTACGTTTATTGGCAGTGTCCAGAAAACGGAAGCACCACCAAAACTTAAACCACCCTAATCCGACTAAAAGACAGCAGGAAAACGTATGTAGGAAATGCAGTCGCCATTCTGTATTACAGACACGGATATATAAAAACACCAGAAGAGCAGAATTACCAGTTGGTTCGTGATCCTGGTGGACAGCTGCAGGGCGTTCAGTAGGGCGGTGGTGGCGGTGGTCGTGCTCCTGGTGGCGGCGGTGGAGGAGGCGTCATACCGGGCGCAGGGGCCCCACGACCAAAAGCGTGCGGCGGCGGTGGTGGCGCCCCTCGTGGCTGCATGAGACCGGGCGCAGGCACGCCGACGCCCCAGGCGGGTCCAGCGAGACCGGTGGGTGGTGCGGCTGCAGGCGGAGGAATGGCGGCACCCGGCGTAGCCAACGGCATCCCTCGACCCACCGCGCGTCCCATACCCGGCGGCGGAATCCCCATCATGCCCATCCCAGCGCCTGGAAGCGGCACTCGCGCGGAGTCTTCCGGCGGTGGAGGACCGTCCACGTTCATGCTTACCTGCGACGGACGTACAAACATACTTCACCAATCAGTGTACATCCCCTCATCCATTCACTCAGCTGAGTGGGTGACCGAATGGCAACACTACCTATCTCATCGGTTCGACAGTAAGAGGCACAGTTGACATTCTCCTAAACTCGATCTATTTTGAAAATATCTGCTCACAGGAATGTGATAGTACTTCGTCGAGACGTAATTTAACGAGTAATCCCGAGAGCAAATTCAGGAGTTAAGACCTATGTTATCAATAAATAACCTCTTAATGTGTCAGTTGTAACAAAAACTTAGTTTATGTTCACGAGAACTTCTTAAAAGGAATCAGCCCAGTGCAGGCAACTCACAATATAGCCGAGAACAAAAGTAAAACTAAAAATACTCCACCAGCTTATTTTGGACAGGGCGCGCACTGACGTTTCGAATAGCAATCCTGTACTTCTAGTTTCGACTAGTGTTATACATTCCCAAAGGTTACACTTGACGATGGACAAAAAACCTAACAGTCAAAATTCCTAAACTCCACCAAAGCGCGATTGCAGAAGTGCAAGATTTCAAATCACAAAACCGTACCTCGCTTGAAAAGACATCCTCTCGTCACCTCGTTTAAGCATAAAACAATGTGACAACCAACGCCCCAATCAAATTTCGCGCGGTGGATTAGGAAAGTGAGCAGAACTCCAGAAAAAACACCGGCAATAAGTGGCTAAAAATTCTGAGCAAAAATGCTGCAGACGTCGCACATTTATCGAGTGGTCTGTTCCAAAAAAAATTCAAAATCAGACACGCACAAGTGATTTGGGGTTAGTGCTGAGGGGAAGACTTACAATATGCTCCCCACGAAGAAGAACAAGTCCAAGAGAACGCTTCTCCTGGCGAGGTTGTTTTGAATTTTTGCCTTTAACCGTACGGAACTCATCGCAGTCGCATAAGATAAGATTCATATGCCTATCGAAGGCTTTGAATGTGCCGACGAGCTGCCGACTGTCCTGGAGAGTACAGCGAATACGATAGTTGATATGTTGACTGATTTTCGCATTTTTACTGACTGGCTAAGGGAGGAATTAATAAAAAATCATAAAACTACCATCCTTGAGCCACACTGACAATGATCTCACAACAGTGCAGCTAACGCGAGCAACACTGAATCTAGCGGTTTGATTGGACTACTGCTTACCAATTAAGTTGAAATGCTCCTGACCTACAAATACTGTTCAGCTCTAGCCAAAATTAAATAACAAAAAGCAAAATTTGGTTTGAAATAGTGCATATAATTGCTTAAAGTTACCTGCAAGCTCATAAAACACTAAGAAAATTGGTTTTTATTTTTACCTAAGTGAACCAATGAGAATCCTATTAACACGTCAACTATCGCGTTAATAATCGGGATTTCGACGAAAACATAAATGTTCCGCATGTGTCCCTGCAAGCCTTAAACAAATGTTTTAGTAAAAATTTTGTTTTATGTTGATTTTACCTTCACTAGTTTATACTTGTTGATTTCAATGTTGTGTCTATTTTGAAGCAGTCTGGAGTACACTGTGGATTCACAGCCTTGTTAGTTGATTACATGTGTCATGTAGCTGAAAGTGTATTTTGTAAACGCAGTACTTTTATCACGGGTCAGCATTCTGCTTTATATATGTAGCGTCCCGAAATTTCTCTGAAGACGAAAGAAGACACAATACCCGGGCAGAATATATATTCAGCGCGGAGAAAGTGTCTGGGCTATTGGCATGGCCCAAAAGGCCATCCCACCTAGTGAGGTACAGGAAGCCTAATTCAAAGTCCAAAAGTGGCGCCTCACCAATACCGAGGGATAGACCACTATCGTATTACAATACATGTACAAGTTTTTTTAGAACTGAGAAGTAAGTGTAAGCTCCGACTTTAAAAGAAATTGGCTAATATGATGAAAACTGTCTGAACTTGCAAAACTTTTAAATCTTCTTAGAGCCGGATGCTTTTCCAACTACCATACATTAGCTTGAGTACAAGATTATTCGAATAAGACCCACTCTGCGCACTATAACCCTTCCCAGACGTGTTTCAAATTCATCAACAGCCTGTGTTTACTGCGGCCCAACACCTAAGAAACTTTTGAGTGCTCGCGTCATGTAGAAGGAATGGGCTAGGTTGGTCTGCCTTAAGTGAGCTCCGTACGTTTCCCACATCAGTTTAGTGACAGATTTATAGATTGGAATTGGCTAGCTCAAAAGCAATGGCGTTGCATATATTTGATAACTGATTTTGCTAAAATTATCAACATCCGTTGCAGCGGTGTTAAAACTCAAGGCACAGGACAACACCTGAAGCCACTCATCTTTAAGAAATATATTTGAAGTGCTCTTAAATGAACGACTCTTAAGTAAGCCTAATGACGAATCCCAGAGTTTGTTAATGCTAATTTCGAAACACTCCCGATTTACATGAAATGGTTTTTTTAGCAAATTTCACTTGCAGTTACTTGTTCCATGTCGTTAGCAATGTCCACAAGTGATATGAAACGTAACTTTAAATGTGAGGAATTTGCGACTCCAACAACGTATCTCGCCCTAGTTTCTTCAATTAACACACCAATTTTAAATGCTCTCAGATCTTCAAATGCGGCTAAACATTAATTAAAATAGCATCGTGAAAAATTATTCAATGTCTCTATGGGCGCATGCTCATATTAAAATGCCACAGTCCCCTTCAATGGATGCTTGCAATCCAATTCGCCATTGCTTTTGAGAAGGGTTAGCTAAGTAGCATGCAGGTTTCTGTTCTCTACACTTGCCAGCATTTCTACCGACTTCCATACGCTCTAATTTCTTCATTGGAACTGCAAGCAGTCGGGAATACAGCCGGGAAAAATCACACCAGGCGGAGACTAACGGATTCACCAATTGTATCTCGAATAGGTCAGGGAACGAGACATGGGCCTAGAGGTAGCATGTGCGCCGACCGTTGGCAGTCCATCGCTTCGGGGTAGCGAAGGGCGTGAATGAGGCTTGGCGCTTGACGTAGCGGTGTGATGCACCACCCGTGTCATTTCCGCTGACCGCGTAGGCGTTGTTGTGCTGCTCAATCACTGCATCCATCTGGTCGGGGTCTACCTCCTCGGCCATGCCCTCCTCTCCCAAATCCAATACGGTCTCCGTGACTGGCGGGGAGAGCGGCAAGGAATAGGACTGGCGCCACCCCTTTCCCCAACTCCACCGTACCGGTGGTGAGTGTGCTCCTGTGGGCGAAGGTGAAGGTTGTAATGGCTGCTCCTGTGGTCTCTCCGCCGCACCCCACAGGCATCGGCCAAATTTGGACGACGAAGTGGCACCTTTGAGATGCAGAAGGCGAAGGAAGCGATGGCGGAATGTGGAGCTAGCCACCATGAAGGCGGGGAAAAGTAGCCCTGTTGTCGCCATGTCTGCGAACTCGCGACAAATTATGGTCGCTGTGGTATGGTAAAGCATTCGTTGCCAAGTTGGGTCGGATAAAATCTGAAGGCAAGTATTTTGTTCATGAGGACAGCTAATTATAGGCTCTTTATCTGAATATTAATGCTCACTTTAGTGAGGTAATTTTCAGTTCCTTTAGTATTCAAATTTTTTAGAGTTGAAGATGCCTCAATCCCCACGGGACGTTCCTGGTCAGCTTTCCAAAGTTTCCCGTCTTCCTGGTTATTTTCAAATATCCCAGAAACCGCCCTCTCGCTTATGCACGCCTGACAGGCTGAGTACGGTCACAGCAAGGATTTGACTAAGCCGACGGAGTGACTCCCGTGCAGACACTTTCACAGGCTGTTTTTACTGTCCGGACGCCACGCACATCCGCATTTAACGTGCATTCCCTTGCTTACTCATCTACGTTGGTGGCCAGACGTCTGTTTTTAAAGGCTCACTCGCACCTAGACTATCCAGACTGTGACATTTGTGGGCGTAGGTTTTGGGTAGCACTTTGAAATGTCTTCTCCAAATAGTGTATTTACCGGCTAAAACCGATCATACTAACTGCGGAATGTGCTTTTACACAAAGGTTATGTATGTGATCAAACGTGCTGCGTGTGCGTTTGAGGTTGAGTGAATGAACAATTCATAGAGTGCGTTTTCAGAGAGATCCTGACCCCTTTGATTTAAAGGCATTGCGTCGAAAAGTTGGTCTTTTAGGGCCGACCACTTTGCCACTTCTTTGTAGTTCGATATGAACAAAATTAATATCAATTGTAAGGAGGCCTTTTAATTGGTGACCGCATATTATTGAAAAGATGATTTTATGATGTCATTGCTTTTCTGTGCAAAGCACGTTGCTTCAGTATGATAAATTTGAAATGGTAGAAAACTATTAAAATGTTATAAGCCCTGTTGAAAATATTTTACGTAATATCATTATAAACGCCGCCACGATTGTCAAGAAACTAACCACCAACTCCATTTGCCCCATTAACGAGGAGTCGCCAATTCCCGCAACCCAAAGTTTCTCTGTTTGAGTGGCCTGGATCCCATCGATTTTCCAACCCCCGATAATCGATGCAGATCGAAACTTCAGAGCAGATGGTCTTATCGATCGGCCTGCGTGAGTAAGTGCAGCAGTGTGGGGCGCGTCTACGCGCCTGACAGCTAGCCAGTGCCTGGGTCTGAGTCCGAGTCGCTCAATCGTCCTAACCGCACGAAGGCCAATGTCAACCAGTGACTGCAAACACACACGTGACTATTGTTACACCCAAAGCACACCCATGCGTGACATGAGCCGATAGGGAAGGAGTGAGCAATGGCACGGCTCCCATGGATGTTTGAACATTAGCCATCGACTCGGAATTCTGAGAAATCTCAGCAAGAGTTGTGGTTAACTATAGCTTCCAAAACAAGAATCGGGTAATAAACTAAACGATTACAATTTTTCAAAAAAAGGTGGCTGATCAACTGCCTATGTGAGTCTTAATCGTAATTTTCAAAAGAATAGCTGAAAAATAATTAAATAGCAAAGCTGCGAACAGATATTTCACCTTGTTACTTGCTTCTCTCTTAGGGGGAATATAAATGGAAATTGAGATTGCTTAATGAAAGACACTTCCTCTAATTGCACATTCCCTTCCTTATGCAAGATTGCATTATCTTTATGGTTTTTTGTGATAAGGGTGCAGCCTTTGATTATCCGTCTCTAACACTTTGAATCAGCAGTCAACTTTGCAATGAGCCTTGTACGTTTCATCCTGAGACCCTGAATACACCCTGTTGCGAAGTGTCTCATTGTCGTTCACTTCAAGCAGTGTGGGGATTATTTTAATTAGTATTATTCCACAAAGAAGGTATTTAGAGATGCTGGCAAGCTAGGCCAGAGCTTACCTCACGATCGGGCAACTCGGCAAACCCTGGGGTCGCCATGACAGCTAGAAGGCGAATGGCCGCCAAGGGTAAGTTGGCCAGACCATAGAGGACGCAGATGGCAATGGCAAGTTGGAGGCGGTGGACCACGCGCCGGCTGTAGGCAAACGCAATGCGCTCACCAACCTCTGCCTCTGTTTGCAGTACCACCTGGCCCTGATTGGCTAGGAGGCGTCGGGACAGAAGAAGAGCAAAGGCTGTGGCCCCTAGGGTACTCGGCGCAAAAATGACCGCGTTGAGGATCCACTCATAGAGCATGAGGTTGGCATCGGAGCTGAGTAACTGGAAACCCGATTGATAGCCTCCTACTGGGCTACAAATTAGCTCCACACTCTCAAAAGCTCCCTGCAAGGTAATATCAGTCACCTGCCAGAAGTTTATCCCCACCAGGCCCACTACAAATGACATGAGGACGATAGCCGTTACCCTCTGAAATAAATGGAAAAAAAGTATTTACTAGGCCTACAAGAAAACCGCTCCACTTTTCACACGCATACACAACGAACCGAGAAAAGGCTACAGGGGAGTTTGCACCACCACCGGCGGTAGGGATTGCGGCAATAGCAGGAGATAGTGCGGCGGTGTGGGGTTCGTGAGATGGCGTGCGCGCGCCAGGCGATGAGGAGGACGAGGAGAGCAATGGTGACACGTGTCGTGACGTCAAGGCTGTGGACGAGAGGGCAGAAGGCACGGAAACCGTTGACATCGGAGAGAAGGCGCAAACGCCAGACTCCGTCAAGATCGAGAAGGAGGCAGAAAGAACAGTGTATTAAGAGGAGGGGACAGCAGAGGAAACCAAGGAGACGAAGCAGAGCATCGCCACGTCGACGTTCTCTCCAGTGCCTCCACAATGGAGGCGCAGTGGATGAGACGGTGTAGGCTTTGGCGGCCTCATGGGGAGTGTGCCAGGTGAATAGGACAGCAGCGGCAAGCGAAAGTCCGAGGAAGGAAAGAGGTAAGTAGACCGCCGTAGTTAAAAGGTCGACCTCTAAACCGATCGGTGTAAATCGCGATAGGAAGGATTCAAGGTGGGTATAGCGTTCGAAGACATTCAGTGGCGCTGCACTATCCGCGAGAAACATTGTTGGTTGCGGTGTGGTGGTGGTTGCATTGGTCTAACGCAACAGATACAAATCAGCTTTATTCAGCGTAGGTGGTTTATTTTTGAATTTTTTACTACTAATGGGGCAGATCGTGCAAGTTCTAGATTGAAAGTTTGTGCAAATTCTCCTCCTTACGGTTAACTCTATCCATTTCTTTGAACTTTGTAAAACTCACTAGTGAATTTTAAAAAACAAAGCAATTTTTCTTTATACTTAGGAAACTGTTCCATCCGCATCCAAAGTCATCCTAAATGCTGGGAAAATGATGGATTTGTGTTGCATTTTTTGTTACGGAGAGCCCTCCTAATCACCTGAAGTAGCAGAAATTTACGAGTCTACCAGTTCCGATGACACCTTCTTCAACCCTAAGAGGGAAGTGTTTGTGCACGCTGCGGTGGTGTTTTTGGTGGAGAGTGCCTTTTTCCGCACGTGGCCACTTGAATGCCAAGATATGCGCTTCGCTGAAGGTCAAGTGAAACTTCCTTTCAGTGTCCTGATGATGCACAGCTACACCGTTTGCATGAAACACCTTTTCGTTAATTATTTTGTGTAAAAAAAGAACTTGTTGACGCCAAAAATATCACTCTCGGTTTCTCAATCAGAGGCCGCTACTTCGCATAATTCTGTTTGGTCATCGCAATCAAGTGGTCAAGTTTTTTCACGGAACTGCAGCGGATGCTCTTTTAGGCGAGAGTTGAAGTCTTTAAGTTTAATGCCATGGTTTCTGCACCTCCCAGTTGTGCCTGGACAATTTAAATCCGTCTATTAACGGCGACTCGCTGTGATGATTAATTAGTAGCACATTGTTTTGCAATGAGCCACTGACATGACCGGCATTTGTATGTTAATGACAACATTAACTTTATCTATCAGCATATATGGGGCGTGGCCAGCTTGCCGGATTGCTTCGGACAGTGCACTAGTGTAGCTGTTCACAGCTGGAAGATTGGACGGATTCGTACTGGATGGATGGATGGGTGGTTGGGTGAATGGATATAAGTGGGCACACTTTCGTTACCTTGACTCTGCAATTGCCTAGCTGGGGTCAACTAATTCATTTTAATTCCCTTAATTTGCTTACATTCCACTTTTTGACAACTTTTATGTCTGTTCCTGAGCGATAATGCAAAATATTCTCAAAAATGGAAATGATGATGACGCACTCAATGTAAGAATAGAAAAAAAAAACAATGGTCCTTTTGAAAGAGAAATCGCCATTAAAAAAAAATTATTAATAAGGCAAGCCTGGGCGTGTAAACGGGCCGCATTCAGGATCCTTACGCATTGCAGAAAAAAAAATGAAGACAATGTAATGGAAATACGAGAAATTGCTGACATGCTCACCATTGCAGTGGTTGGAGGGAGAGTAGCGATTGTAGTGGTGGTGGTGGTGGTGGTTGGGGGGCCTGGAGTGGTGGTGGTGGTGATGAGGTTGCCCAGCATATCGTACTGTCCCTTGGCCGACATTTTTATTCACTGATCGCCTGCCCGTCCGCTTGGAGTGAAGCGCTCTGCATACAGATTACCATGGCGCATCGCGATTTGCATGTTGCCATGGCCGGTTGCCACTTCGCGGTCCAGTGTCCAATGCAGTGCGAGCACATGCATAAATGAGCATTGACGTTTCAATCCACTCCTAAAAAGTGTAGCTGTGATACCCAATGACATGGATGTCTTCAAGATGGGTTCGCAATTTTGCATTACGGACGGCCGCCTTCACTTAAAACGCGGCTGAATTGATACGCGCGTTTAAAAGACGCTTCGGCTATTTGAAGAGGAACTTTTACAAAACGTAGGAGGTGTGAGCTCCACGTTTCGACACTGATGAGAAGGGCTGGAGTCCAATCTGCCCTACCTCTGACTCCATAGTCTGCAGTCCCAGTAATTGTGAGATTGTATCTCCGTTGAATGTCGCCGGGTCCTTCTTACTTAGCATGGACAGAGTGCTCTTTGTCTGCATTGAACACAACGAATCCTTCATTTATTTAGGCGGTGTTACCGTGAAAATTGACGCCTCATAGAGCCTAAACGAGCCTGAAGTGGGTGGTTGAAAATGAACATGAACATTAAGTACCCAATATTTGTCTCCAGGTTAGCCTGCTATTTTCGGACGCAGGTGAAATGGACGTTAACAGGCGGGGCGACAATAACGAGGAGTGACTGATGTTTGCTGCCAAATGACGCTCAAGGTGGTTTGAATAAAAATTTGAAAAAAAAGACCCTTCATAATCATATTGCTTTGGTAGTTGAAACCTCTAACTTGCCCCATCCAGCCTCAGTACACCTTCAGGGACAATTCAGGATGTGAATGAGTCGTTCGATCGCCGAAAGCTTTGAGTAATGAAGCTGCTGTAGATGGACTGGTCTGCAGATAATGGCAGCAGACTTTACAGAGTCTACTCCACTGACTTGAGTTGCAACGCAATAGGATGCCCCTCCATGGCACGGGAATCGGACGACAGTACAACAAAGCCAGCGCGCACCACAGATCAGTCACCGCAAGGAGTGGAGGAGAATGCTCAGCTAAGAAACGAGAGGACCACCCATCAATGAGCATTAATGCCGTTTTCACAGGCCATTCCATTTTCCTTTCCACTTTTCATTGGAGGTATTTTAAAAATGATATAAGTGCAAAAGTTGACAAGTAGAGCTGGGAGACCTTTGAGTACGTGGAAATGTTCCTTATATATCGGAGGAAACAGAGAAGAGCACCATTCAAGCACTCGTGTCGATGACTTTATGGCAAAGGAGCAACAAATTCCACTAATGAGAGACAAAAACTTTCTGTGAAGACCTTCACGAGTACTTTTTCATCAGCGACTACAAAGTTTCTCTCCCCCCCCCTCAATTGACTAACGGAAACGGAACGGTGGATTCCTGGCATTTGCTGACGCAGTGGTCGGTCCCCGAATGCTCGAGGTGTCAAAGCACGCTACCAAGCGCAAGTACTGGTGGAAGCTCACTCGAATTAGGAGTGACTGGCTTGACAGCCCTACCCTGATGCCACAGAACAGTAATCTTCGGATTTAATTTGACATTGTTTCACGGAGGCAATTACTCCACATTTCATGAATGAACTTGAGGCCCTCATCTGACAAATGTATTATAAATCAAACGTTTGGCCTTTAATCTAACTGCACCCACGGCTTGACTCAGTTGCAGAGTTAAAAGACATTAGAATCACTTTAAAAGATCAAGAGCAATAAAGAGTTTATTCTGATAGAACACGAAAGAAAGCCGTATAGCATTGATAAAAGTCATTCCAATCAGATAAAACGAAAAAATTGGATCAGAAGGGAGGAGACTGATGATTAGAGAGCTTTGAAGAGACCAAAATTACACCAAATCAAATCACAAGTTGAGAATTTCGAGAACCTTTGAACGGGTCGACTCGAGGTAGAAGGAAAGTGCCTCTGGTACAAACTCCAGCTGTTGTACCAACTTGTCCGTCTCCGCCAGTAGCTCTGTCAACTTCACCTTCATGGTCTATAAGATAGAGAAGGTGAATAGGGTATCTGAGGGGAAGGGAGGAGAAAAAGAAACTCACTTCGAGGGGCCCTACGCCCTGCTGGTGGTAGATGATGTGGTAATTAAGGAGATCTACGTAAAGCTGCGTCCGCGCATCCACATCCATACACATGTCAGCCAGGGAACGCGACTTCTCCAGGCACTTGAAGACACCCTGCACACGTGGAGGAAAAGAAAATATTAGCATCTTCACGCTAGTGGACTATAAGTAGTGGGCATTAAAATTAAGATCATGAATAACGGTGTTAGATACGACTTAAGAGCACCAACCATCCAGTATCTACAGATTTGCCGGTTCAAACGGACGCTGAATACGGCTGAAAATGATTAGGGCTGCAGAACAGCATCCGTTTTAGCTGCAACGGTAACCCAATTTCGGATATGCTGCGTGTCCTTCACTCCTTGCAAGTAACAGCACTTTTAACTGAGGCCCCAAAAAAGGTTACGTCTGACTGAAAGAGAACCGCTCTTGTGGATGCATGGGGCTTAGAGGAAGCATGAAAGTAATAATGAAATCATGTTTCAATTTGGCAATCATCTCGACCTCAATTTCTGTGCCACACAGGGGACAAAGGAGTAAAAATTTGACAAAAGAAATCCCAATTGCCAGTTCAAAAAAAGTCCTGCAATACTCCTGTAAAATTAATGAAATATAGGTGCAACCTGAAGAGCAAACTAGCTCCTCCCCATGTTGATAAAGTCTAACGATAACCCAATCAAAGAGCTTAGTGATATCAATATGGGAAAAGTTAAAGTACTATAGAAAGCAACCAACATATGACACCATCTTCCAGGGGAAGAAATTTCAAAACCCAAGCGAAATCTGGTAAATGACTTTCTGAAACGAAGATACCGAAAAGACTTTGGATGAGCATTATGTAATCCACATTCCTATGTCGTAAATGATTTCGGTCCCGCCTGATCATATTTTGAATAGTCAACATGGAAGAAGAGACGCACAAAAAGACAACAGAGAGCGTACTTTATCGAGATTCAATATCCATACTGGCAAAATTTAAAGAAGTGGTGATGGGAAGCAGAACAAAGGAAGCTCACCTCAAAGTCGCTTTCTCCCGCCTTCCCTGAAGTCATCTTCCCCTCCTCCCCAGGGGTGGCGATGATGGGGGTGGGAGAGGAAAGGAGAAGCTGAGCGGTAAGAGCGACGGCGCGGCTCTGATCTGCACGCAGAAGGAGGAGGTTGAAGGCAGCGCGCGAGCACTGAGTCTGCAGCACACCCGCACTCTCCGCATCGAGGCAGCGACGCGCCCACCAGAGAGTCGCCACTAGCAGCCCAAAGGCTGAAAGCTGCGCCCGCGCGTCCGACAGCTCCTGCTCGAAGAGAGTGAAGGCCTGAGAAAAGAACTCGTAGGCAAAAAGAGGACGCTTCTCGAATGCCACTGTCTCGATCACGAGGGTGCAATTGAGGAAGAGACGCAGGGCAACGTCGGAGGCGTTGCAAGCGATCAACTTGGTTGCCGACTGGTGGCAGAAGGCTATCACCCGCTCATACAGACCTGCCACTGCCTCCTTTGTCTTAGGCTCATCTGTCTCTATCTTTTCCCCTCCTGCACCGATTACCGGTAGCAGCCTAATTGCCTGTGAATAAGACATACATACAAGGTAAGTCATGTGATTCAGGAAACTCGTGAAGGAAAACTAATCACTAACCTCAAAAACAAGGGTTGGAAAGGTGGCCCTTACGACGACGGGACCACCAGCGGCAAGTCGCTTCCGCATTTTTGATAGAAGGAGAAGCTTCTCTTCAATATCCACTCGAGCCTCGGCCTGACGGCCGACCAAGTGAATCGCTGAAGCCAGAAGAGCGAGATCTTCGGTTAAGTCCTCTACTGAGGACGACGGCGACGATGGGGAAACTGAGGTGGTGTTAGAATCCTGACGTTCGACTAAAACGCCAACCACAGCTAAAAAGGCATCCAAATCGGCCTCGGTGGTGATGCGTTGGTTGTCAGCAACTTCAGCATCACCGCTGGAGGCGCGTTCAAGAGCGCGCGCAATGAAAAGGCAGGCGAAGCGGCGGCGAGCCGAGAAGTCAAGGAGGGTGCAGAGCCGCAGGAGACCGGAGAGGTCGAGCAGCACCGGAAGGCGTCCCAGTGCGCCCGCGTCGTCCAAGCCAACGGTAGACGGTGACAGGGGAGAGAAACCGGAGGAGAATATTGCGAGAGTAGCGCACTCCACTGAGGAATTCACCGACCGCGGCGGACCTCCAGGCCCATATAGGGGCAGGTAGAGGAGGCTGAGAAGCTCTCGTGACAGCACTGAACCGCCCTGAATCCTGAGGAGAAAGGAATGAACGTAGGAAAGAAGGCGGGAAAGAAAAGTACCTGAAGGAGGAAGCGGATAGTGTCTCAAGGGCGGCAGCGGCACTGAGAAGGACCTGATTCACGGTATCAGGGCTGGAATGGAGGCAGATAGCCATGGTTAGAAGAGGCGCAAAAAGACCCGGTAAATCCTCCAAAGGCAGCCCCAGACGTGCCTCCGTCGGTGCCGAGGTGTAGAAGTCTGCGCGACGGCGCACTAACTGACCTAGCTCTGTGGAGAGAGACTGAAAGAGTTCTTCGCCACCACCGCCATCGCCGCCACTACGACTCTCCTCAGAGATACAGCGCAGCAGTCTGTGGAGGGAGAAAGAGGTCAATTGGGGCGGACAGAGGAAAAGAGAGCTCAAAAAACGTGCCTCTCAACCAAACTTCCGATAATGGGTTTTAGCCGAACCGCAGGCTGCAGGTGCCCACAGGCCTGTAGTAGCTGCGGCAGCGTGGCTGCGTGAAACTCGTCCGGAAAGGTCTTCAGGAAAAAGCAAAACATGGCATAAGGTGGGAAGGAAAGGAGGACTCCAAGGCTACACACTAAAAGTAAGGTGATGCGTATCACAGGCACCTGAACGATCACGTCCATAAGGTACTCCTGGGCGATTACGTCATGGCATTGAATGACCTGGGTCAATATGTTTGGCAGGATATGCTAAAACGTACGAAACGAATGCCACTGAGAGACTCTGCGGAGGTAATGGTGAAAAATGCGTCGGGATGGAGAAACTAACAGATCTATAGAGGTCGGTGTTGATGGCCTCGAGTTTAGAGAGTCGATGAAGATTAGCTCCAACGAGGACTCGAAGGTCGCGACGCTCCTGCTCGCGCCGCTCACGGTCACGTGTGTGCCCCTGGTGCTGCATGCGCACCCACAGTTTGTTCATCTCCGCAAAGTTGAGAAGAATGAAGTTGATGCTGTCCAGCACACTCGCTCCCTCCACCTCCGCTGGCTTCATCGGCACATCACCTACGGCCACCTCTTCTCTCTTCAAAGGCTGAAAGAACAAGCAAGCACCCACTAACATCATCGACACTATCGGTAAAAGGACACCCCTCAGAAAGGGAGTGACTTACAGGGGAGTCAGGAAGGAGGCTTGGAGGGATGGAGGTGAGAAGGTAGTTGCGAAGAAAGAGGCCGCGCAGGGGATGCTGAACTCCCCTGCACATCTCCACCAAATCTCGTAAAATCTCGCGGCAAGGCAATTCGCCCACTCGGATGTAGACCACACCCACAGTTATCAGGAGGTACCTAGGAACCAAAAATTGCCGAATCTGTTTGTTTTTCATGGGTAAATATCAAATATAAAGGCAGAGAAATCCTATCACTTATGCTTTTGCATATAGGCTGAATGATAATAAAGAAAACACGGAAAGTTAGCAGAGAGAGTGGATTCTAACATTGTATATCTTAGCAGCCAAGAGACAAAGCACTGCTAAAATGTCTGCTGCGTATGGTACTGGGATCCCGGATCCCGATGTTTACTAATGCGGATTCAAAAAGTCTGTTTTCGTTGGAAAGTCAGAAAAAAGTCAGGTATCAAAGAAGTAATTAGGAGAAGGATGAAATGAGTCGCTCAAACACTTTCAGCTCAACCAAGATCATACATAAGTCGCTGCCATGAGGCCATGCTGTGCTACTCAACCAAAAATCGGCATAAAGTCAAGTTAAAACAGCATAAAAGAAGAGAACAAACTGGGATCGACTTCAAGAAACCAGATATTTAATCCTGCAACAATAATTATACACCCTATTTAGTGCAGTTAAAAATTGACTTCTTTTAACGGCCACCATTGTAGCAAACTGTGATGAAAAACAAGGGAGCATAATAAGATCTCATGGAGCATTTCACTTAAAGAAACATATAACATGACAAAAACAGACAATGCTTCTCACAGGCGTGGTAGAACATTGGAGACATATTGAACGATCTCGTAAAGGTGAGGAATGGATCTTCCATGTTGGAATTCGTCAGTGAGATAAACATCAACAACGTTGAGAACTTCCGCAGCCTTGATATCTGCAATCAATTACTCGCAGTGAGATAGAACTTACAGAGTTCGTAATAGGACTTCGGTGAGAGGCCAGAAGTCCGCAGCCCACGAAGAGCATTGGCACAACAATGCAAGCCATCCATATTCGCCCCATCATCCTGATATCTTAAGTTAGAACAAAAATGCTTACAAAATACATTTTAACCGCTTGTTTTTGTTGTTCGATAGCTGCCACCATCCTATTCAGCAGCCTCTCACCCTCGTTAACAGACATACTTAGTGCACAGCCCCAATTGGAGCAAGGGGCTATTTCGAATAAGTGTGCGGAGTCGATTCGTTAGTGCATTATAACGTTACGGGTCTTAAAATAAAAAACTAGTTTTTTGGTCATAATAATTAATTTTCTAAGCTTTAGGCTTTTTGTTAAAAATTTTAACATTTTTGAGCACTAATTTTTTTGCAAAGTTGGTAGTTTTTTGCCTCTTAATGATGGTACTGCATATTTAACTACTAAGGCGTTTATCAACACTTTGCGACCTGAAGCGTGTATCAAAATGCTAAATGCATCTTTGCAGCGAGGAACACCTGCTGAAACTAAGATCAAAATTTTGTCTAATGATGGCCCCAGTAAGGTGTTTACATCGACCCAACAAGCAGTGTAATGTCCAAAGAATTGGGGATTCACTTTACTGTACTCTCAACCGCGTGGGCTCTTCTACATCCACCATCTGTACTTCTGCCTCGGAAATCAGGCAAGAAGGCAAAGACTGAGGTCTCCCAGCCTTTCTAAACTGTAGAAATGGATCTACTCTCCTACGGGTGTGACTCATCGCAGTGGTAGAATAAACAAGTAGCGTTGGAACTAATTTATTTTCGCAATTGTAAACTTGTCCCGATGCGTCGGTATTCCCTCTAATTTGCACATGCAAGAGCATTGTGGCTTCAATGAAGCAGCTCCTTCTAGCCTACGCAGAAGTGTCTGCTTGCTTCATCACCACCACCGTCATCCTCCTCTTACTCCTTGCCATCATCATCCCACCACGTATTTCAGCCTGAGGCGAAATTACGTTTAGCCCAAGTGCTGAACATGCAGCTACAACTCCACCTTGCACCAAGAGAAGGCTGAATTTGTAATTGTGCTGGGAAATTAACCGAAACCCAGGTTCACGGTGGCACCACATTTGAAGCGAAACTGATTGTTCTGCCACACGTCTACAATTTGCCAAAGAAACACTTCTTCCCGTGTACTGCAATTCCGCTTATATCTACTGGAAGACCCAAGAAAGATTTTTACTTTTCTATGATCACTACTAAAGGGCACTGAATGGGAGCCACTACAGCTGTCAATTCTTCAGCATCCAAAACTAAGCTTATTTTTGTTTGCATTTCATGTGTAAAAAAGTTTATTTGCTGATTATCATTTCTACTTGTAGTTTATTTTCAACACTCTTGAACATAGTTAGTTTTCCAAATTCAGCATTAATACCTAAGAAACTAGGTGCTGGAGGCTGTTTATGCATAATTAGCGAGAAGTAGCTCCGGATTTCTATCCGACTATAAGCAAGCAGAACTGGGTTGGTGCATCCCTCATTTCACTTGCTCACAGATGCTCGTCCTTAACCGACTACTCCTGGCACATACGATGAATGGACGGTAGGGTGGCAGATGCTTAGTGAGGTAGTGTCCTACCAACGTGCAATGCTTACTAGTGCATCTATTTAATTTGTAGCAAAATTAGTTGAATTTTCGTCACTGAAATGAAAGCTAGCAGTAGCACCGTGAAAAACAATTTATTATTGACGGGAATTATGTTAACGCAACATGATGTGCTATAATATAAGGCAAATGTATTCTAAATCTTGAGTAGTTTAATATAAAAGTGTGGGCGGCATTCGAAAGAAGCTCGTGCAAAGTCGATGTGCTAAAGGAAGGGTGTGCTTAAGAGCGATTTTACTGATCCAAGCCATTAGTGCTTTGGATGCATTG